ACTCCCCTCCATTGCTTCACATGTTGCCACGAGGAGCTCAGAGCATTCAAAAAAGCAACGGTCTAATTTCTCTTCCCTAGCTGACTTCTCATAATACTTACTATTGGCATCACACATTTTATCCCTCAGTATGACTAGGGATACTCTCTTTTATAGGCATGAAATATTTCTACTTAAGCCACTAAGTATGTGCAAAATATGAAAAAAAAAATTGTGCCCATTAAAAATCCCTGGCCACTTTGTTAATTTAAGAACACAAAAATGTGCTTCACTTAAAAGTATCACTTACGCAAGTAATAATTATAAATCTCTATTGAGTTTGCCTTGAAATGTTTTCAATTTTAGTTCAAATACACTACAATACTCTGAATTTTAATGAATCTAAATCAGTTAATTTTTTAAAGTTAGTCGAGAGAAAGAGAGAGGAAAATTGAGAACAGGAGATATTTTCAATGAAAAAAAAAGTACAACAAAGAAAAATCTTTATTATCTTAGTATACTTTTCAGTGTTAATGATATGAAAGTCACTCAGTTTCAATAAACAATCTTGGAAGGAGAGGAGGAGAGGAAAAGTACATATTATTCATTGCAACTTTGCCAGGTGGCGCTCCGTCTGATTAGTCTCATTTTCTCTTTTTCTTTTTAAAGTTTATATTATTTATTTGAGAGGCAGAGTTTCAGACAGTGAGAGGGAGAGACAGAGAAAAAGGTCTTCCACCTGCTGGTTCACTCCCCAAAATGCCCACAGCTGCACCAATCCAAAGCCAGGAGCCAGGAGCTTCTTCGGGATCTCCCACATGGTTGCAGAGGCCCACGGACTTGGGCCATCTTCTACTGCTTTCCCAGGTCATAGCAGAGAGCTGGATCAGAAGAGGAGCAGCTGGGACTTGAACCAGCATCCATATGTGATACCGGCACTGCAAGCGGAGGATTAACCCTCTGTGCCACAGTGCCGGTCTCTAGTCTCATTTTCTAAACTACCATGATTAGTCATTCTCCAATGACATTTTGTTATTATCTTGTGAAAACAGCAAGTTTATCCAGGCTGAGATATTGTTCTCTACCTTTTCACATGGGAGTTTATTTCCTTATTTAAGGAGACCATTTTCAAACAAAAATTGGATTCATTCACATATTGCCAAAAATAGAAGAAAGGACAACAAAATATAAGAAAAATATGCTTAGCAGAATCCCAGCCTATATTTTTAACACCAATATCTACAGGTACAGTCCACTGTGTCAGTTTTATCTTCAATTTCCTTTTATATAGAACCTTGGATTCCAGTGATTTGCAACAACACAATTTAGAAAACATTCTCCATCTTGATAAAATTGTTCACTTTTCAATCATCACACACATCCCAATGGCTTTTACTATAAAGATTCAACACCATAGTTGTATTCTTCACTTTCTTCTTACTTCTCTGAAACACAGTATTCACAACATGACCCATTTCACATGTCCCATCCCTGTTTCCGCTCACCTATGGATCTGGCACAATATATCTGATTTTGTGATAGAACTTGGGAAACAATGTGTCTATATTTGAGATCTTCTTAGGAAGACAACACTTACTCATTGACCTCAAGATAAAAAGTCAACAAGCGTAAGCCCTCAAACAAATAAGACACTAATTTTTCCATTTCCTGAAAGAGGAAGTATGTCCTGAAGAAGAAAAAAAGTTCAATGAGCCCTTTATAATGAGGTTTACTGCACATATATGCACAGATGAGGGGCTGTAAAAAGTTTCATGTTAAAATTTTTCTCTTACATCATTTTTAGAAATTATTGAGTAAATTCCAAATTTGAAATATGATCTTTTTAAAATCTGTAAGCTCAAAACTTTCTAGAAACAAGCAAACCATAAAACTTTAATTTTTCTGACTTTCCCCACTTCACAACATCAGGGGTGAGAGTAAGAGGAGACATGCAGAGTCAATCACACAGGATAACAACATCTTGCGTATCTCTACAGAATCTATTCGGTGCTGGACACACGATGGGCACTTCTAGAAAACTGTGAAGCTGAGCAAAGTGAATGGAACAGAGCAGGTGAGACAGAAAGCAGTCATCTGTGTATTCACTAAATGTATATCCTATGTCTACTTTAGTCTAAGCATACATCAAGCATTAGGGGCAGAAGAGTAAAGAAGGGTACAGTCTCAGCTCTGCAGCAAAACTGAATCTGAAAGAAGAGATGGACATTAAACAAATAATTGTAGTAAGTACCATAACTGAGTAATGCAAGTGCTATACAGTACAAAGAAAGTTCTACCTTAGTCCAGAAGTACAGAAGTCAAGGAATGTTCCCCGAGGGAACTGGATTGAGAGTTCAAAGAGGGTTGGAATAGTGTACTAGGCATGGGCAAAGGCCCTGAGAAGACATGATCCTCATTATTGGAATGCAATGGAGTAGGGGACTCTAGGAGACGAACAGGATGAGGTGTACAGGCATGAGGTTTCGAGGCTTTCCACGTGTTGATAAGCACTGTTTAATGCAATGAAATAAGAAGCCTGTGAAAGGTGTTAAGCAGGGGAACCACTTAGATTTAAATTTCTCAACCACCATTCTGCTTCTTGAAGAGTGACTGGGATATAGACAAGTATGGATTAAGGAACAGTGAGGAGGCTAATGCAATAATCAATGAATGATGGGACAAACAGAGGAGTAAAAGACTTGTGAGAAGAAGAATGAGCTCAATTTTTACATGCTCAGTGTGAAAAGTCTATGACTCATTCAAATACAGATGTTCAATAAAGTTCTGTATAATATACAAGTTTGAAGCTCAGCCAAGAAGACCTGAGTCAATTCATCAGCACAGAGACTGAAGTTGAAGCTATGATAGAGTATGAGATTAATAGAGGAAAGACCACAGGAAAGAAGACAAGGTCAAAGTCAAAGCCTTAAAGAACTCCAATATTTAAAGACTGGTTGAAGATTGAATTCCACCATCCCTTTACCCTTACCTTTGAGGAGAAAAAAAAAAAAAAAAAGGAAAGCTAAAACTAAAACCAAAAAATAATGGCAAGGGAACAGAAGGAAAAAAAACAGGAAGTGCATTATAATGGAAACCAAAGGAAGAGAATGCTTCAAGGAGAGAATGGTAAACCTTATCCAAATGAGGACTAAGATGAAGACCAAAGAGTGTCCACTGCAGTTACTAATTCTAAAAAAAGAGTCTTCAGTGGCCAAGAAAGAACAAATTGAGTATTGTAAAAAAAAGCAGAACTGAAGGCTTAGTAGATTACAGAATGAGAGGGAAGTAATGGAGGAAAGATAATATCTATTGAGCAATTTATGAGTTTACTTGTGAAGAGAACAAGAAAATAGAACAGAAATGGTAGTTGGGAGAGTTGTGAGATATTGAACAGATTTCTTTTTTAATGCAAAATAATAACTATGTGAGGTCTAATGAAGAGGATTTAGTAAAGAGATGGAGACAAGAGACAGATCAAAGATGGAGGGAGTCCCTGCAAGCACGCAAGGAAGGGCTGGCTTCAAGAGGAGATGCAGATACAGGGAGACCTGCACACATGGTGGCAGGACACCATAGCCTGTGTGATCACACCTATCTCAACATGAAATAGGGGATACGATCACTTTTGGAAGTCAGTCAAGCTGATTTTGGATATGGTTTGAGTATCCCTAAGACTTCAGGTATTGAAATCTAACCCCAAAAATGAGATATTCAGAGCATGGAAACTTAATCTGACTCTAGTGCTTAAAGGTAAAGTCTTTGGAAAGCAAATCAGGATTAGAATAGGTTGTTAAAGTAGAGACCCCATGATTGAACCCTAGTGACTTTACAAGCAGGAGAGACGTATAGCACAGATATACACGTGTGCTCCCTGTCTTTCTGTGATGACATGCGCTGCCTTGGGACTCTGCCAGCAAGAAGAACATCACCAAACAAACACAGCCTGTTTACCATCCAATTCCAGATCCATAAGTAAAATGAGCCTCTTTTCTTTATAACGTTAGTCTGCATCAGGTATTTTATAGTAACCCCCAAAACAGATTAATATAGTCAAGTAATGAGAGTTTGAAAGGAGTAAGGAAGGTATGAAATTGTTACTAGGAACAAAGTAGATTTCAGAATGTGTTTAAGGCCTGGTGAAGATCGGTGGTCATGAATCTTAGGTGATATCCATCACTTCAGTAGGGAAGAGATCAAAGGAGGAGCAGGAGAAAGTACAGTGGAGCTCCAGACCCAGAATCCACTCCCTAATCCTCAAGTTCAATTCCCTCCAATTTTCTAGTCATATTATGTGCTCCTGAATCCTTCATAACATTTAAGTACTACATCACTTTTTACTACATGATCACATACTAAAAATTTCCTATTTGGTATTCCCCTAACTTCAACTCTCTACTCTGTCTATTCCTATGTCCTTGTGTATGTCTTCATACTACTCCGCAGACAATGGCTACTCAGTGAATGATTCCTAAATAAATTTAAGGATCTTCTAAACTGTCAAATAGAGAACTGCCAATATTCCCTCTGGTTTGTGATTTCCTGGTAGACATGAAGAAATCTTTTTAATCACAGGGTGGTTGCACCAAGCCTTTATTTTTGGAGTGATCACTAACAGCAATGGTGAAAAATGGTGTATCTGAGAAAACCAAGCAGAGACTGCCATCACTTCTGGTTAGGAAACAAGACCAGGTGAGGTCACTTCCTGTCAATCACTCCAAACTATCTTTTTCCACCCCTCAACCTAACCCATGGACTGCGCTTTATGGATATAAACTGCCCTCTTCTTCTCACTGTCACCATGGAAAACAGTGGTTAAGTTCATGTAGCTTCTGCAGAGCTAGAAGTCAGAGGGCACACACCTACTGGCTTATCTATTTCCTGAGTTTGGATTCAGATTGCCAACTGTTCCTGCAGTCACAATGTTGTCCTAAAATTGGAGAGAGAGACAAAGTGATAGAAACAAAAAGAACAAGGACAAGAAAAGGCCTACTTCAGATTTCACTACTTTGCCATGTTCATACCTTTGCAGCCAGCCGACACTCCATCACTCTGATATTAAAATGGGAAGTTGCTGCTTTGTTCATTTCCACACAGCTGTTGGCGATCACAAACACTGCTCCACTTGGGAGTTTAACATCAGTCGCCCTCAAAGGACTAAATTCTATCAACTTGGCCTATTTGAAGAAAAATGGCAGAGGAGATATAACTAATTAGAATTCAGACATGTCTAAGCATAGATACACTAATTTACCTTAACAATATCTTTTCTCAAAAATGCTTTCATTTATTTAAATATAATTTATTGACTTCCAGGCACAATACTAAATGAATAAGATAGACAATGACCCTGCCCTCACAGAGCCTATCATTTCCAAGTTGTGTGACAAAAGCACCAAAGCAGAATATGCTATATAAACACACACTTGAAGCACCTGATCACATAAACCTAGTACATTTTCCTTTGAAAAAGGGAAATTTAAACCAAGTCCTAAAGGAGTAACTATAGTAGGACAGACAGAGGGTTCTCTCCTCAAACAGGATGTGAAGAACAGGGAAGAGCTCTGTGAGTCCAGAGGTGACAAACAACGTGGATGCTAACTACATTTTGGGAATTGTAGTTTGGCTGGAGCTTAGAGTCTGAGAAGTGAGAGGTGGCAAGAGATTACAATGGAGGGGTAAAGCAGAGGTCAGATGATGAAGTACTTTGCAAGTCCAAAAAACCTGGACACTGTGCAGACTTTATAGCCAATGTACATTAATGTCAGCACACTTGCTATCATGTGTGATTGTTGGGCCTCATCCAAAACACCCGTAATATTTTTCAGAGTATTAAACCAAACTTCTTCATTCCACATGTCTTTGACTTAGGGAAATCAACAGCAAATACTTTTAATAAGAAGGAATCTAGGTGTTCTTGGAAAATAGCCAAGCCTAGAGAACTCTGAAAAAAAAAAAAAAACCTAAGATTTTAAAGAAATAACTGTTTCTATTTTGGAAGTGGGTAGATTATAGACAACAACCAAAATCTATGTTCTACCTAAAGAAGCTGATAGCCAAGAGGAAGTGGTATTTGCTGGGGAATTCACTCTTGGCTTGCTTTCAACATTCTTTTTCCCACCACTAAAGACCCAAAAATGTTGACAGAGAAAAATGATACCAAAGAGTAAATTATAAAAAGAGGAGTTAGGAATACATGTGGTAAGAAAATGAACATATGAGTTTAAAACCAACATGAGATTAGGAAAATGCCATGAGATGAGAAGTGATTTAGGACAGAAGTTACAAAAGGGGCTGAAAAAACTAGGGAATTGAAAAATCTCTTCCTAAAAAAGAAGAAAAAAAGGAAAAACACATGAGAAAAATAGTTTTGAGGTATGAGTCTGGAAGTTTAGAGTAGAAGTGATCAGCATGAGACAAAGTAAATTCACCCGTGATAGCCTTGGGTTACAAGGCAACTAGAAAATAACACCCTACAGTAAAGCATAACAAAGAAGAGGCCCATAACCCAAAATGCTGGTGATCCCAAGGCCTTCCTCACTGTGTGAATTTCTCCAAGCTGATGTTTTCAAATAACTCAATGCCACCTACAGTTCCTTCTTCTGCAAGAAATGATATGGATTGGTCCATGCCTCCTCCTTCAGTGCCAATATAACGTTCGCTCTTAGCACAAATTTCTGCAAGTTCCACCTGAAAAAGTAAAGATTGATTTGTACTGTGAGTACAGCTTTAATCTATTTCTCATCCTTTTCTTACATCAAGCATGACAAATACAGTGCCAACTCTGACCAACTAATAGTAGCTGGCTGTAGCATTGTGTTAACAAGAGCTGTAGGCAACAACTGAGCCCAATAGGAAAAACACTAAGATTGTTTAACAACATCTGCTTGAGTGTAGAATGAGATATTTACTGTGTGCCATGTTTTTGCTATCCCTAAAAGATTCCATAGGGCAAGCATTTCCTCCCTTCCTTCTTTATACTCCATCCTTCTTTAGATTGGTGTCACTAAACATCACATATGGGCACTCATTAATTTCTGCCTCAGATTCCTTTGTCTTCCAATGGTGGACTATTCTGTAGTCTTCTCACTGTCAAAGTGGGGTCATTCACCTATATTTTTCAGCCCAAAAGTAATGCTGTCTCCTTGACATTTCCATTAAATATATGAATCAGAACTAGTGTCACCAAATACATCTTACTCAAACCAACATGAAGAGGTACAATTCGTGAACACAGTTTTAATCCAAGCTGAAAAGCTCAAAATGGTTTTTTTAAGGATCTTCAGTGGCTTCCTACTAAATAATGAAATAAGTCCAACCTCCTCAATTTGCCATTTCAAAGCCTTCGAAAACCTGGGACCAATTTGCATATGTAATTGTATCACCTATCACTCTTTTCCAGTTAGATTTGTCTCCTTGACCATCTCATACACATTCATGCAACTGGTATTACTTCCTGTCTTCTCTCCTATATAAGTCTTGTTGCTACTCAATACTCAGCTTATACACAAGTCAGAAGGCTGGCCATTCAAATCTTCCTCCATCATGTCTTCTTCAGATATTGTTACCACTTCGGTATCCCCTTTCTCTACACTCTTACAATACTTACAGTTATTATCTATTTACTCACATTATTATTCATTCATCTATCTGTCTTTCGTCTAAGACTTGTTTCAGGCCCTGGTTTCTCACTTGTTTTACCTGAAGCTGTTCCTAGAGTCATCATTCTGAAACACTGGCATTTTGTAATCATCTCTTGCCTGCCTGGTTTCCAGTACCTTCATACTTAGACTTCTCAGTACACAAGGCCTTTAATGACTTAACTCACTTCTCCAAACTGTTCTACCACCGCTACTCCCATAAACTTGAAGCTCTGCCCATAAGGAATGCTGAGCAAATGTTGTTCTTCATCACCCTCAGACTTTCCACCTCTAGTGACTTTACCAAGATGCTTCACTCAATATTTCTTTCATCACTAACATTCCACAATTCCAGCCTTACCTCCCCAGGGAGCCCACACCACCACTCAGATGCATACATACCACATAAACCCTCTCCTATGTTCCATATTAATAGCTCTATTATAGCTTATTGATTGATGCATTGAGTGTGGATTTACTTGTCTCTTTACCCACTAGGCTATGAGAGCCCATGTGGCACCCAAACCAGAGTCCACTTAACTAATATGAGCTGAATCATAGTGTTTATTATTGTTCCTTAATTGTTTCTTGCTTCCATCACATCTATTTTCCCCAGAAAACTGTGAGTCAGAGAGACAGATAAAGTACAGTGTTCTTTCTGTACCTACTTCACACAACACTAAGCGCGTAGTAAAGACTCAATAAACACCTGCTGCTTCATTTTCTGAGAATAGCTACTCAATTACCACCTGTCAGATTCTGCAAGTGTCATATTTCATCTTGGTCATGTGGATTCACTAACATTAACTTTGCCTTGTGACAAGAGGTCAACTTGAGATGTCTGACGTAATAGGCATTGCACATGGCCTAACACACAGAATCAGTGGCCTGTCCATAATAAGCACATTAAAAATAAGTTTGTAACTAAAAGGTCAAAACACTTGGATTAAAAACATAGAGAAACAACACATCCAGACGGAGCAATATGCATAGCATTCAGTGAAGAATAATGAAATTGGGGTACCCACGTAAGTGTAACTCTGAGACAGTGTAAGGATCACCTCTCCTTTAACAGCAGTAACAGCCGCATAACTGAGAGCCAGGTAGCTGTCAAGTATGTTAAGTACTCTTTATTCTCTTTTGTATTGTCTCTTTTGTAAGAAATACCTCCTTTTCACCTCCAAAAACCTTCTGCTTACCCCCATTATATGAGTACAGATGAGAAAAATGGAGTTGAGAAATATAACTGGGAGTAGAGGAACCTCACCCAAAAGCCTGTGTTCTTTACACACTGAACTTCAATTATCCCTTAAAAAACAGAAATAATATGACCTATTTCTTCACTTTCTCAAGGAATGTAAAAACACCAAAGAGATCTACCAAAATGTAAATATTATCCCTCTTTAAGAGGAACAAAACCATGGCATTGAGCAGTTTATGCTTATTCTTTATTAACTGGGGCCAGAGCTGTGGCCTACGGGGTAAAGCTGCCACCTGTGATGCCAGCATCCACTATGGGCACTGGTTTCGCCCTGGCTGTTCTACTTCCATCCAGCTCCCTGCTAATGAGCTGCAAAATGCAGCAGAAGAAGGCCCAAGTACTTGGGCCCCTTCTACCCACATGGAAGATTCAGATGAAGCTCCTATCTCCTGGGTTTGGCTTGGCCAAGTGATGGCCATTGTGGCCACATGGGGAGTGAACCAGCATATAGAAAGTCTCTCTGTCCCTCCCTCTCCCTAATAACTGTGACTTTCAAATAAAGAAGTAAATCTTTGAAAATAAATTAAAACATAAATAACTACTTTTTGTGTAAATCAAATGATTGTTTATTCACTATGCAAAAATAAAGTTTACAATTGCACAGAGCTTTAGAGCACCATGAGGTGTTCTCATTCAAAGTGTTTTTTTTAATTCATTGGATTATCATAGTAATCTTGTAGCCAAGGAAACAGGTATTTTTTTCATCTTGTGAAGGAGAGATCATGTGACATGGTGACTAAGAGTATGGGTGTTGTGGTTAGATAATTTGAGTTTGAATTTTAGCTTTAGTATTAATTAGCTTAGTCTCAGCCAATAAACCTACTCAACCTCTTCTTTATAAAATGGAGAGAGATACCTACCTTATAAGCTTGTGTGAGAGATACATAATTCAGGAAAGGCAATTAGAACAGCATTTAACAAATAGTAGGTGCTCAGTAAATCTTAGCTGCTAAATCGGGGCAGGCACCATAGTGCAGTAGGTTAAGCTGCCACTTGGGATACCCACATCCCATATTGGAGTACCTGGGTTCAAGTCCTGCCTCTGCTTCCAATCCAGCTTCTGAAATGCACATCCTGGCAGGCAGCAGATGGTGGCTCAAACACACACAGGAGACAGGTGGAGTTCCTGGCTCCCAGCTCCTGGCTTCAGCCTGGCCCAGCCTCAGCTATTAAAGGCATTTGGGAATGAACCAACAGATAAAAGATGGATTCATATTCTCTCTCTCTCCTCTCTCTCCCTCTCCCTCTCTCTCTCTTTCAAATAAAAAATAAACATTTAAATGAAACTATTATTGTTGCCAACAAGTATATGGATAAATGAAAACTTGGAAAAGTGAAGTAATCTAAGGTCACTTAGCCAGTAGGCAGGAGAGTCAGGGCTTGCACTGAGATTTGGAGTCATCTGATACCAGTTTGTTTTCCACTAATTTCTAAATTCTTCATGCATTTGTGGGGTAGGAGGGGTCTATAAGATAGTTCATTCTTTCTTCCATCTTTCAACTTCCGTATCTTAATTTTCTTTATTTTCTCTCCACTTAGAGCTGTTAGGTATTATCTGTTCAATTACAGGATTGAGCTGTCATAATTCAGCAGAAGAGGGAGCAGAAAGATGGAGAGATACCCCCTGCCCTTTGGTGTGCTCGCCTGATTCAGAGACTGGGAACTTCTGGATGTGCCTCTGAATTCTGTCCAGAAAGATAGATTTGAAAATTTCACAGCCTGTACCTATTAAAACACAGTTGTTGCCACGCATCAAGAACTTTTTAAAACAATAAGCATAAACTTCTCATGCTTTCTTTTCTCTTGGGAGAATATTTAAATTTTGGTGAATTTCATTAGCATTTTCACATTCCTTTAAGAAAGTGAAGAAAGAAGTTACGTTATTTCTATTTTTAGTGGGATAATTGAAGTTCAGTGAGAAAAGAACACAGGATATAGAGTCAAACAGATGAAGTTCCTCCACTTCCTTTTTTTAAGGTTTTTATTTAATGAATACAAATTTCATATGTACAGCTTTTAAAGATATAGTGCTTCTTCCCCCATTCCCGCCCTCCCACCCCCACTCTCATCCCACTTCCTACTCCCTCTCCCATTCCATTTTCCATTAAGATTCATTTTTAATTGACTTTGTATACAGAAGACCAACTCTATACTAAGTAGAGATCTCCACTATTTGCATCCACACAGACACAAAAAGTATAAAGTACAGTTTGAAGACAAGTTTTATCATTACCATAGTACACCTCATTAAGGACAAAGATCCAACATGGGGAGCACGTGCATAGTGACTCCTGTTGTGGATTTAACAATTAACATACTTATTTTAGAGGTCAGTGCCACCCGAGGCTCTTGACATGAGCTACCAAGGCTTTGGAAGCCTTTTGAGTCCACAAACTCTGTCGGTTTTTAGACAGAGTGGAAAGTGGAAGTTTTCTCGTCCCTTCAGAGAAAAGTACATCCTTCTTTGATGGCCCCTTTCTTTCCACTGGGGTCTCACTCACAGAGAGCTTTCATGCAGAACCATTTTTGTCACTATGTCTTGACTTTCCATGCCTGAAATGCTCTCATGGGATTTTCAGTCAGATCCAAATGCCTTAGGGACTGATTCTGGTTCCTCCACTTCTGGTTACATGTTTGAAACCTCAGTTTCCTCACTTGTGCTCGTATACTGGGGTAAAGCAGAGGGTCTTTGGAGGTTTACAGGAGGTAATTCTCACAAAAGAGAAAATACAAAGTGGGAAGACAAGTTACAATTATTCTGGAGTTTAGAACCATGTTTTAAGCGCTCA